AGCAGCTTTTTGTACAACCTGCTGTGTTGTGTAAATGATAAAAATTTAACTGAATTGCCTTATGCTTCAACAGTTAAACAAATTCACCACTTTGACTAGAAACAACTGTTCTGACAACAGGGTGAGAAGGGCTGTCACTGACAGAAATGGTTTATTACCAGTTCCAAAAATAGAATCACGTCCACATTCATCCCCGATATCGTTAGAATTTGTCGCTCCAATTGTATTGGATGACAATGGAAGGCTTTTATAGACGGATTACTAAATGGTAAAAAGATCAAATTTCTAATTGACAGCGGATCTGAGATTAGTCTGACCAGAGAAAACGTACCTGTGAAACCAAATTCACCCATGTGTAAAATAAAAGGTTTTAATAATACAGGTCATTCCACTGCTAGACAGGTGCCTAATGTAACATTTGAAATACTGGGCTAGTGAAAACTAACATTGATATTTGGTATAGTAAAGCCACCGAGAATATTCTTGGCATTGATTTTATCAATAAGCAAAAGTGGATTATTGATATTATGACCAAAGTTATTTGGAGGAATCCATCTAGGCCCAAATCAATGTTAATGGATCCTTCTATATACAGTGATGTTGGTTTCAACTCTAAAATGTCTACAGCACAAAAATGGCCTGATACTGATGGTAATTGTGCTTTACAAGAATTGGTACAACGTTTTCCAAGTTTGTGGTCAAAGTTTAAAAATGACATAGGAACATTGAAAGATACAGAATTGAATATTGAGGGAAAAGATCCCATACCCCTTAATCAATATGAATTACCACAAGAATCAATAGGACCACTTTCTGACATTATTCAAGAGTTTGTACAACTTGGCATTTTAAAGAAAACACAATCAGTAGTAAATAACTGTATTTGGCCTATCAAAAATGCTGACAATTCATATTCTTTGTCAGTTGATTTCAGGACACTGAATAAACATATTACAAATAACAAAGCAGTTGTTCCTGATCATTCTAATATCAAGTCACATTTTAAAGGCCGAATCCAAAGTGTTTTCTGTTTTGGAAATCGATAACAGTCATTTTTCGATCCCCTTAGCTAAAAGTTGTCAATACAAGTTAGCTTTTAAGTTTCAGAAAGAGACCTATGCATTCACTCGATTAGTAGCTGGTTTAGACATCAGTGATGGTATAGTCCATGAGTCCATAGAAAAAATTCTATCACAATTTTCAAGGCCAGAATGCATTTTTCAGCATGTAAATACATTTATGCTAAGTACGCAGAATGTTAACGAACATATTACTCTTTTGTCTGAGTTATTTATGTTGTTACAGGATGCAGGCCTAAAATTAAACCCAGACAGAGTTCAGTTGATGAAAAGTCAGGTAAAATGCTTTCACATGCAGATTAGTCAAGGGAAAAGACAATTATTGCAGGAAACAGTCAGAGCTATCACTGCCTTTCCAGTTCCTACAACACATAAAGCATTGCAACAATTTTTTGAAAAACATAAATCATTGCAAAGAGTTTTATACATGGTTTCACAGAGAAAGTTAAGCCATTATATCATCTTTTGAAGAGTAAAAATAACTTAGTTGACCAATGGGGTCCAAATGAGAATAATGCTTTAAAAGTGTTGAAAAAGGATTTGCAGAATGCGCCAGCATTAAGTACAATTGAGGTTTGTTCCAATGCTCCTTTTGTTGTGAAAACTCATGTATCTGAGAATGCTATTTCAGTAACTTTGTCTCAATTAAAAGAAGGTGATGAAAGACTAATTAGTTACTTCTCCAGAAATTTATCACCATTGGAAAGAACGTTTACATCAGAGGCACAACAACTGTTGAGTTTCTTTTATGCAATCAAAGCTTCAGAAAGCACAGTAAAGTCACATAGTATCATATTACAGTCTCCTGACAGTTCACTAAGAAGAATTCTTGAGGAAGATACATTCAGAGAATGTCGTGAAAGGTATCCTCAGTGGATAGAGCACTGTTAGCCAAACACATTGTGATAGGTACAGCTGTATCAGACAAGTCTCTACCTCACGTTCACAGCAACACATGTATTATTGAAGAACACTCTAACACCAGAATAATGACATCAGCACAGAAAACAGTTCCGCATATTTCTAATATTATAGGGATGAGAACAAAGGCATAAACCTTTGTCATCTCTGGGGTGATACAAAACCTTTCTTTGTTTAATAAAACAGGGTTTTGCGGTCATGACCTATGATGAAATATTGCGTCCTGTCATACCTAAATAACACACTACTTTTGTATTCTAGTTTAGGTAATTTCAGACAGGATTAGGACAGTATTTTGATTGATATATAGAGGTTTTCTGTAAAAGGAAATAGGAAGTGATGTTACTTCACAATATGTGTTTCAAACTCATACACTGATTGTTTCATAATCTTTCATATTTGTTGAAAAAGGTGCAAGACTAATGCAATGTTTGTGCCAAAGTAATGATACTGCATTTCTTTACAGAAATGACATCTAAAATCAAACATGAAGCGTAACAATCTCCTACAAGCCAACGTGAAAGAATTCGGACGCTAAAGAATAGATCTTCATATGGAAGAAGATTGAACAAGAGCTTAATACTTCACACTTGTGACTGATTTATCACGTTCAACAAAAGTTTCTACTTTACAGAACTTAACGAAGATATATATTTATAGACATTGCATGAAGAAAAGATTCATCAAGAGGAAATCTATTTATTAATGATAAAAATAATTTATTATTGATAATATTGTTATAGGTCACATATACATTTTAATGATCCTTTTATTCCGATACTTACATCCATATTGGGATAATATTATTATTTTTTATTTTTTACATATTCATATACGAAATATTTTTTGGTTAGAAAACTTCATAGAGTTATTCCAGTTATTAGAATATCTTTTGTTAAAAGATTTAAGAGAAGCATATTACTCTTATAGGAGCAATATAAACTTATGACACATTTTAGAATGGAAAAGTATATTTCCGGAGAGTTAAAATATTATACAAATATGGAAATATACTACATTAATTATTATTACATCATTTAATTATTTTTTTTATTAATTATTATTATTATTACTATATTATCATATATCATCATTCCCATAAAAATTAACATTATGATTAAGAATTTTTAGGAAGAGAAACTGAAAGATAAGGTATAGAGTTTTGAAGGAGGTTATTTTTGATTGGTCCAGTTATGAAGAATATGTACGATCATTTGGTATAAGACTGTGTGTATGGGACATGAATGAAGTGTGCATTGAATAAGGATTAATTCTGAACAAATCATAATAAGGGGGACATGTTAAATCTAAATTATGATTCGGCATTTATATTGATGGCAAGCTTGCAAAATATTTGGTTTTTATGATTAGTCATAATTAATATTAATATGTGTAAGTGGTCTTTGACAAATGGTAGTATTTACTATTCTTCAATTATAGCTGAGATCAAAAGATATACCAGTTGAAGGTTGAGTATGCTATATTTAGGCATAAAAGTATTTGGTAGTTATGTCAAGGTTATTAGAAGGGACTTACTATTACAGTACGTATTTTAATGGTATCTGTGTATATTTAGTATACGTTTCTAAACATTGATACATTTACGTCATTAGCTTATAATATTATGTACATCAGCATACATATGTTCTTGTCCATCAAACATCATATGTATAGCATCCTTTCCTTATATGAAATGGGCTTTGCTAAGCAGTAATACTTTCCATAGAAGGTATTAAGATCACTAACTATGACGTACATTTTGCCTCATAAAAGACCATCGGATAACGGACAGAGAGAGACTCACACACACTTACGCTAACATGACACTCTTGCATACACACGTCTGAGAAGCTGCAACAGGTGCTGCAAGACAAGACAGTCATTAACGTCACTTCAGTCTACTTCCGTCTTCTTTCTCGGACTCAGAGAACGGACAAGGACATGAGACGCACATGGCAAGGACAGCCATGACAGATAATGGTGACTTTGTTTTAAACGTTTGCTTGTCATTTTACATGGAACTGTTCATAATACGCTTTACATTGTTATTTTACACCATTGTTGTGATAGAATAAAATCACACTTCATTTTTTATTTCAATGGCTCTTTCATTCATAATCGCCTCAAGACACTAGAAGAAGTATTATATGTGTCTAAAAATCCAACAGCAAATAAATAATATTTCATCATAAATCTTTGCCAATGTTTATTCTGTTATGTTTTTAGTAAAAAAAAAAAAAAATCCAAATTAGTTTATAACCAAAAAATTATAATTTTTAAACATTTTTTTTTTACATTTTTTATTTTATTTTTTTTATATTATATTTTTTATTTATTTAATTTTTTTTACATACTGTCACCCTAGCAGTACAGTGTCACCATGGTGACACTGTACTGCTTGTGGGGGGTGATGAAGATTTTTTTTTTTTTTTTACACTGATTGCTTTTACACCCATATAGGATGTAAAAGCAATCATTTCTCTTTCTCTCTGTCTGCATTCTTGCACTCATTGAGAAGTACTGAGTGAGCTGTGATTGGTCACAGCTTGTCACATGGTACAAGGCTGTTGTGAATAGCCTTGTACCATGTGACCTCTGTGATCATTCACAGATTTCACACATAGTAAGCAATGATGTCACAAGTGACATCTTGCTTACTACTTTGCATGTGATCACTGATTGGCCAATCAGTGATCACATGATCGGGACCTCGTACAGACTGGTCCCGTCCGACGATCGGTGTTTCACTGTGTCCGGAGGACACAGCGGGCACCGGATCGCGGTGCTGCGCGCTCCCAGGGAGCGCGCACAAGCAGGGTGCGGGGAGGCCGTTTATAAACGGCCACCCGACCCCGCACTGCCACCGTACGGCCGTTTATATGCAACGGCCGGTCAGGAAGTGATTAATTCCTTCTTCTGGGAGAGGTGCTGCCCCCCTGCAAAATGCCGCCCTAGACAAGTGCCTTGTTTGCCTTGTGGTAAGTACACCCCTGCTTGTACCTTTCATAGGCTTTTTTGGGTGTGGTTTGAGTGTGGGCAAGGACACAGGGGCCCCATGATTTCCGACTGCCCGGGGGCCCCATGAGTTGTCAGTCTGCCCCTGTTCACCACCATGCTGCTGTGTGCTGCGCATAGGATGATTTATGGCCACCATACTGTCTCTGGAAAAGTAAAGTGTTTTTTTTTAATTAGCAGGACCTTTTTTAAGATCACAATCACGGGACTAAATGTCATGTATTGTATGCTGACCTCTTGTGATTCTTCTCTCTGGTCTTACGATGCTCCCCGTGATAACCATTAAATGGGGAACTTTTTTTTTTTCCATACTATTTTTGTTATTTTTGGACACGTGAAATAAAATAACTTTTGAACAGAGCAGAGATGATTTAGAACAGAAGTACTCAACATTTCTAAACAAGGGGCCAGTTTTACTGTCCTTTAGGCTAGGTTCACACCTATGCAGTGTGCGTTCGATCTGTTCCGCAGTGATTTTTGCTGTGCGTTTTGCGTTTTTTTCTTCTTGTTGCTAGGCAGATTAAAACACAAAATGTATCAAAAACACGTAAAAAATGCAGCAAAAACGCACTACATGGTTTTCTGCAGCATCTCCATTGAAGTCTATAGAACCAAAAACGCAACTTTTTGCGTTGAAAATAGTCCCTGACCCTTGCCCAAAAGCGCACCGGGTGAAAAAGCAGAGATTTGAACTTCAATGTACTGTGTAGAGCGTTTCTGCAAAACACTGTGGAAAACGCTTAGCTGTGAACCTAGACTAAGGGCTAGTTCACACTAGATGCAGTTCAGTGCGCTTTTTTCTGTATTAAAAAAAATACATGCACAATGTTTTCCATATATTCCAATGGCCTTAGTTCACACCAGCGCAGTCAGTTCCAGTCAGGTTCTGGTGCAGAAAGTAGAACACGCTGCATTTTTTCTACACAGAACCGTACTGGAACATAGCAAACTGCATCAAAACTGCACCGGAACTGCGTGTGGTGTGAACTGTAATACCCGGAATGCATCTGGAGTGCATTTTTGTAGTGTGAACTGGCCCTTAGACTTTAGGACTGGACTAATATCGGCCATAGATGGGTCGAAAATTGGCCGATTTTTTGGTCGGAAAAAAAAAATCGCCTGATTTTCGCACCGTTAGTGGGTTAATTGGTTCAGCCATTTTTCGGGGCTTTTGCACATTTTTTTTTTATCGGGCATGTTGGAAAATTCGCGGCCGATTTTGACGATCAGCTGATTTTCCCAGCAATGTTGGGCAAATCGGCCGATCGTTTTACCGATAAAAAAAATGAAGGAGAAGGAGAATTCCAGTCCGCTATTATATTTTATATGAAAAAGTCTTGCGGTTGCAACAAATGTATCCATTTGTATCCAAATAAAAATAAAAACAACTTCTGCAAGGGACAGAAGTTATGGGGTTAATGCCGGCCATAGACGGGACGAAAATCGGAAAGAAGAAGAAGAATGCCAGAAGTTATGGGGATTTTCGACCCGTCTATGGCCTGCATAAGGTTGGCTAAATGTCTCTCAAGCTTGCTGATCAATGACAGCAGGGCCATCTTTATAACTTCATGGGCCCCTGGGCAAAGTAATGCATTGGGGCCCCTACCAACATGCCTCAATATATGCACCTACTCTCAAGAATCAAAGTATAAATAGCTGATAGAATAAAATGTATTTTTATTAGTACTTCCAGTAAAATTGATTTTAAACAATAAGAAAGCATGCCATAAATCAAACACAAAGGACTGAGTACATGGGGGGGAGTCAGGAGGGCACAATACTGGGGTCAGGAGGGCACAATACTGGGGTCAGGAGGGCACAATACTGGGGTCAGGAGGGCACAGTACAGGGGGAGTCAGGAGGGCACAATACTGGGGTCAGGAGGGCACAGTACAGGGGGAGTCAGGAGGGCACAATACTGGAATCAGGAGGGCACAATACTGGGGTCAGGAGGGCACAATACTGGGTTCAGAAGGGCACAGTACAGGGGGAGTCAGGAGGGCACAATACTGGGGTCAGAAGGGCACAGTACAGGGGGAGTCAGGAGGGCACAACACTGGGGTCAGGAGGGCACAGTACAGGAGGAGTCAGGGGGGCACAATACTGGGGTCAGGAGGGCACAGTACAGGAGGAGTCAGGGGGGCACAATACTGGGGTCAGGAGGGCACAATACTGGGGTCAGGAGGGCACAGTACAGGAGGAGTCAGGAGGAGGGCACAATACTGGGGTCAGGAGGGCACAATACTGGGGTCAGGAGGGCACAGTACAGGAGGAGTCAGGAGGGCACAATACTGGGGTCAGGAGGGCACAGTACAGGGGGAGTCAGGAGGGCACAATACTGGGGTCAGGGGGCACAGTACAGGGGGAGTCAGGAGGGCACAATACTGGAGTCAGGAGGGCACAGTACAGGAGGAGTCAGGAGGGCACAATACTGGGGTCAAGAGGGCACAGTACAGGGGGAGTCAGGAGGGCACAATACTGGGGTCAGGAGGGCACAGTACAGGGGGGTCAGGAGGGCACAATAGTGGGATCAGGAGGGCACAGTACAGGGGGATTCAAAAAGGCACAATACTGGGGTCAGGAGGGCACAGTACAGGAGGAGTCGGGGGGACAATACTGGGATCAGGAGGGCACAGTACAGGAGGAGCCAGGAGGGCACAATACTGGGATCAGGAGGGCACAATACTGGGATCAGGAGGGCACAATACTGGGGTCAGGAGGGCACAATACTGGGGTCAGGAGGGCACAATACTGGGGTCAGGAGGGCACAATACTGGGGTCAAGAGGGCACAATACAGGAGGAGTCAGGAGGGCACAATACAGGAGGAGTCAGGAGGGCACAATACTGGGGTCAGGAGGGCACAGTAACAGGAGGAGTCAGGAGGGCACAATACTGCGATCAGGAGGGCACAATACTGCGGTCAGGAGGGCACAATACTGCGATCAGAAGGGCACAGTACAGGAGGAGTCAGGAGGGCACAATACTGGGGTCAGAAAGGGCACAGTACAGGGGTCAGGAGGGCACAATACAGGAGGAGTCAGGAGGGCACAATACTGGGGTCAGGAGGGCACAATACTGGGGTCAGGAGGGCACAATACAGGAGGAGTCAGGAGGGCACAATACTGGGGTCAGAAGGGCACAGTACAGGGGGAGTCAGGAGGGCACAACACTGGGGTCAGGAGGGCACAGTACAGGAGGAGTCAGGGGGGCACAATACTGGGGTCAGGAGGGCACAGTACAGGGGGAGTCAGGGGGGCACAATACTGGGGTCAGGAGGGCACAGTACAGGGGGAGTCAGGAGGGCACAATACTGGGGTCAGGAGGGCACAGTACAGGAGGAGTCAGGAGGGCACAATACTGGGGTCAGGAGGGCACAGTACAGGAGGAGTCAGGAGGGCACAATACTGGGGTCAGGAGGGCACAGTACAGGAGGAATCAGGAGGGCACAATACTGGGGTCAGGAGGGCACAATACTGGGGTCAGGAGGGCACAGTACAGGGGGAGTCAGGAGGGCACAGTACAGGGGGAGTCAGGAGGACACAGTACAGGGGGAGTCAGGAGGGCACAGTACAGGGGGAGTCAGGAGGGCACAATACTGGGGTCAAGAGGGCACAGTACAGGGGGAGTCAGGGGGGCACAATACTGGGGTCAGGAGGGCACAGTACAGGGGGGGTCAGGAGGTCACAATAGTGGGGGATCAGGAGGGCACAGTACAGGGGGAGTCAGGAGGGCACAATACTGGGGTCAGGAGGGCACAGTACAGGGGGAGTCAGGAGGGCACAATACTGGGGTCAGGAGGGCACAGTACAGGAGGAGTCGGGGGGGGAAAATACTGGGATCAGGAGGGCACAGTACAGGAGGAGTCAGGAGGGCACAATACTGCGATCAGGAGGCACAATACTGGGGTCAGGAGGGCACAGTACAGGGGGAGTCAGGAGGGCACAATACTGGGGTCAGGAGGGCACAGTACAGGAGGAGTCAGGAGGGCACAATACTGGGGTCAAGAGGGCACAGTACAGGGGGAGTCAGGGGGGCACAATACTGGGCTCAGGAGGGCACAGTACGGGGGGGGTCAGGAGGTCACAAATAGTGGGATCAGGAGGGCACAGTACAGGGGGAGTCAGGAGGGCACAATACTGGGGTCAGGAGGGCACAGTACAGGGGGAGTCAGGAGGGCACAATACTGGGGTCAGGAGGGCACAGTACAGGAGGAGTCAGGGGGGGAAAATACTGGGATCAGGAGGGCACAGTACAGGAGGAGTCAGGAGGGCACAATACTGCGATCAGGAGGGCACAGTACAGGAGGAGTCAGGAGGGCACAATACTGGGGTCAGGAGGGCACAGTACAGGGGGAGTCAGGAGGGCACAATACTGGGGTCAGGAGGGCACAGTACAGGGGGAGTCAGGAGGGCACAGTACAGGGGAGTCAGGAGGGAACAATACTGGGGTCAGGAGGGCACAGTACAGGAGAAGTCAGGAGGGCACAATACTGGGATCAGGAGGGCACAGTACAGGGGGAGTCAGGAGGGCACAATACTGGGGTCAGGAGGGCACAGTACAGGAGGAGTCATGGGGGGGGGAAAATACTGGGATCAGGAGGGCACAGTACAGGAGGAGTCAGGAGGGCACAATACTGGGATCAGGAGGGCACAGTACAGGAGGAGTCAAGAGGGCACAATACTGCGATCAGGAGGGCACAATACTGGGGTCAGGAGGGCACAATACTGGGATCAGGAGGGCACAATACTGTGATCAGGAGGGCACAATACTGGGGTCAGGAGGGCACAGTACAGGAGGAGTCAGGAGGGCACAATACTGGGGTCAGGAGGGCACAGTACAGGGGGAGTCAGGAGGGCACAATACTGGGGTCAGGAGGGCACAGTACAGGGGGAGTCAGGAGGGCAAAATACTGGGATCAGGAGGGCACAGTACAGGGGGATTCAGGAGGGCACAATACTGGGGTCAGGAGGGCACAGTACAGGAGGAGTCAGGAGGGCAAAATACTGGGATCAGGAGGGCACAGTACAGGGGGAGTCAGGAGGGCACAATACTGGGGTCAGGAGGGCA